AGCCAGTGATTATGACATCCCAGCATCTGTTGTGAGGGTATACCATGGTTTGGCCACTTTGACAGAGGAACAGAACATACGCACACCTAGCCTTGTCTGCTGAAAGCGCAGTTTAAACAGGTGATCTCGGAGATTGTTTGTCGTAGCAAATTCAAAGAGTCCTTAAACGTCACGCGACAATCCAATCCCTTAACAATACCGAACGCATGTAGGAGGTCCCTGAAAATTTGTTTAAAACTGAAAGTTGACAGATTATAGTATTCTCAGCGGGTTGCGTGTGGGACGGAGGCTTCACTCTTGTAGGTCCCTGTACATTTGCCATTTTAGTTATGCACCTCTTATAACTGATGTTGTGTGTATACATGCACTGTTTTGTTTAAGTGAATACAAATTTTTCCGCTTCCTTTGCTAACTTAGTAAAGCCATTTCTTGGCGTGACTACTGGCTGCTCTGAGAGTGTGCTTGAGATTAACAGGCGCTAAGGGCGGTTTTCCATTTTAGGCACTTGACGAAACAATTTCACAATATTCGTGTGGCTGGACAAGCGATTTTGGCTAGCAAATTTAGGCGAAGACTTCTTCTCGCAAGTCGATCTCCGGCTACTTCCGAAGAATGCTATTGAAGTTTTTGTGAGTCTGTATCACACTTTTTCATATTATTACATTTACACATGTTATTCGTTTTTTGTCTATCGCTGTAGTATTTAGTAATTTAGTTGCTACTCTCTAAGTCTAGCGTTACATCGTTTTTAACACGTTTTATTCGTTTGGTAGGCATTAATTGGAATTTGCTACTACAAATTGGGGACCCTTTTTTTCGTTTTGTGTACGCATTGCCTTTTTCTCGAATCACAAGCGAGGGGATAAAGTATTTAATTGCTACCATTTGATATAGCACTCCCAGTTAAGGATCTTCTCCATCCTATACACAGAGATAAGACGTATTCACTACTGAAAGAAGCGGTAATCCAGGGCACGGCCAATTTTAGCCGACAGTAGTCTGGTTGAGCTCTTCACTTTAATCCAATTGGGCGATCAGACACCATCAATGATAGTGCGTCCTATGCGCACCTTGCTAGCCGGTCGTACTATGGACGATGCGATATTTCGCAGAACCTGAATTTATAAGCTTTCATTCCCGATGCAGCAGGTGTTGGCCATTTTCGATGCGAGCACGTCCCTATAGAAAGTAGCCAAGCATGCAGATCGCCTCATCGAATGCTACCCTAACGGAAGCTCATATTTATCATATTCGCACCAAAGACACGGTCTCTTATAAGAGGCTCGATACCGCGCAACCTGCTGAACCTGGTGCTCCCATAAACCCGAGTGACCTATTTGGCATTCGGCATCGAGCGATCGTTGTCCTTCACCATCTCG